GGAGACAGAAAATGGAATGATTTCCTTATAATCAAGGTTAAAGAAAAACAGAAATCTGCCCCCTTGAAAAGCAAAAAGTTATAGATGCAAAATAAAATTTTATTTTCTTTTTCCTTTCAAAGAAAACAATAATGTGGATGTTTGAAATTAGTTTGAGAAATAGACGAAAATGGATTTCAGATCATCAATGTACACTGGCGTATCCTCTAATATTACTATAAAATATTAAGGGGTTTGGGCCACCCCCAATGCCCAGTGGTTAAGTGCATTCACTGGGAACTAGATACCACCTAGCCAACCACAGTTTGAATCCCAGCCACAGCAGCTTGAAAAACACACAAACCACAGATACAAGTGTATCCAAAACCCTGAGGGGATAGAGAAATGGAGGGAAAAAAATTGCAGTTTGACCATGCCTTGTTTAAAAGTGCTTTCTTGCTTCTCTCTTACAAGTGCACCTGTCCTCTGGCATTAACATACACATACATGGGGGACCAGCAGTTAGTGTAATGGCTATGTCGCTGGACTCCCATGTAGCCGACCGCGGTTTGAGTTCTGGACCCAGTGGCTTAAACTCACGCCGGGCGTATGTGCATGTGTGCCCAAGGTCCCGAGAAGAGAACGGAAGAGAAGGGATTGCGGCATGGCCATCCCCCCTGAGGGGGTGATTTCTCGCTTTCTATCTCTCTGTCTCTGTCTTTCTGGCGAGCACACACATCGTATAGCAAAAACCTCTCAAAAAAAAATTTTTTTAAATACACATATGGAAAAAAATACACATACGCATTAATTGTATATATGACTTCTAGAAAACAAAGAAATAAGGAAATAACAGCCATATAAAAACATCTGTAATTCAACCATACACTTCAAGTTTAGGTTGGTCTTCCTACTTCGCTGGTAAAAGACTGAACAGAAAGCTAGACCATGGAAAAATAGGGGGAAAAGAGACTGTATGAGCTACTTCTACCTCTTGGACCTGTCTGGGTCATGGCAGCAGCTAGCAGAAGTCTAAGCTAGCAGATTCTAAGTCCACCCCATACCCAAGACCAAAATCTACTCCCACCCCACCTTGGCTCAATGGTTTTCTCCCACTGTGGTGAGGGTGGTTTTGGAAAAGCTCCTCAAATGCCAGGAAACACTGTAATACAAAAAGAAAAAAACAACTCATAAGTTCCAAAACTTATATTCTGGCCTTCCTCTCAAGAAAGATTGGTAAATAGAAAAGGCACTAGTCTAGGAACTAAGAAAGTAAGTACATTTCATTTGTTCAGCATTCATTCTATGACTTCTGTATTTTGGATAGCAAGTGGACACTCTCTTTCTACTAAGTGTTACTAAACTTATAAACCAGAAGCTGCTAATAGCCACCTTTGCCTGCCACTAAAAGGCTGAAAATAAAGCCATCAGAAAAGTTAGTAGAACTAGAGGAAGGAAAGAGACATTCCTAATGATACAATTTTAAGAGCATGGCTCCAGTTCTTCCTCAAGTATTTTTCTCCCTTAAGTTAGTATTAGGTTTCTCTGACTGGGACGTACTTCCAGGGTTCTAATCTCATGATGAACTAAGCAAGTCTACTGGCATAAGTTTCTTCTTTTATAAAATGGGCTAGATCTGAGTTCTCAACACATTGTGTTTTTTGGTTTGTTTGGTTTTTTTTTAATGTTTATTTTTTTTTAATGCTATAGGACACATGTGTTCGATGGAGTGAGACACAGAGAGTGAATGAGGAAAAATGAGAAAGAACCCTACCACAGGGGATGGCCTCACCGCAAGCCCTTCTCCTCCACTCTCCCCAAGAGATTTTGGGCATGCAGACACATACACACCTGGTGTGGTATTGGAGCTGCTAGGTCTGACACGTGAACTGTGTAGTCAGTCATGTGGGATCCAGCCATCTTAACCACCTTAACACTGGGTGGCCCACAAAGCTTTATTAAAGCAACAGAATTTTGGTCTCCCCACCGCCAAACAAAATCTCACGTTGGTAACAAACATAATGACATTATTTACATGTAAGATCTAATTTACAACATCAGGCCAGCCTCATGATTAAGATAGATCCCACATGACTTACTACAGTCCAAATTCTGGTCCCAGTGACTAAAAACAATACACATTTGCATGCCCCAAATTCCAACAGGATGGAAAAACAGAGATGGGACGGTGGCAAGACCATATTCCATTGAGGACTGCTTTCTCTCCCTCTCTCTCTCTCCTGCAAAAACACCTACTGTCTAGCAATTTAAAAAAATTTACAACATCTACTTCTGACCAAAATCAACAAGAATAATGAGTAGTTAAGCCTCATTTTTAGACTCAAAATAAAAATGACTCTATTATCAAATATACACTTTATAAACTCAAATGTATAATATTTATTTGTTATGACTAAAATCAATGAGAATAATGATGTAGTTTGATAAATACAAAACTTTAAAATTAGAGACTAAAGGTCTTGGTAGCCTAATAGAATTCAGCTTATTTCTGTATTTTGTTTTAGGAGCACAACACTGAGATAATCCTGACTCAAAAATAGTTACAGGGGCCAGCAGGTGGCACAGTGGTTAAGGTGCTGGACTCCCACATGGCCAAGTGCGGTTCAAGTCCCAGACCTGAGGCTTGAAACTCATGACAGGTACATGTGCATATGTGCCCAAAATCCCAAAAGGAGAATGGAGGAGAAGGGACTGTGGCATGGCCATCCCCCCCAGGGGATAATTTCTCAGTTTCTCACTTTCTCCTTCTCTATCCCTCTCTGTCTTCCTGGCCAGCAAATGCACCCTCCAGCAAAAATCCTCCCAAATCCCCCCCAAAAAAGAATAGTTAAGAGTAACATATGCTTTCCACATCTTCCTTAACTCATGACACTAATTAAAGATGGAGAAAAGTTTTACCATCTGTACAAAAGAAAGTTAACCTGACAGCACAAGGTTTTTTTTAACTGGTTAAAATTTAGTAGCTAACAGAGTTAAGCATTCATGTCTGCTGCTTTTTAATTTTTTAAGGATTTAAAATTCATTTAAAAATTAAATTGTGCAAAACGTTTAGAGAATCCAATAGTACCTTCATAGAACTATAATTTAAAAATCTCTAAAGTCTTTTCAAAATAGTTTTCAGTCTGATTCATATACACCACCTATAGGAAATTGTAAGGCAAGACATATAAAAAAATTGTACCTTCTTTATTTTATAAGTTGCTTTAAAGAAAAATTTCACCAATTCCTATTTTCAGTCTTGAAGAGTTATGAACACATTCAAGCAATAAAAAATAAGAGTATAATAATTCATTTAATTTTATTGAGAACCAGTTTAATAGGGCAGGTCATACAAAGTACTATAATACATTCATTACTTAAGTGTGTCTACTTTAAAAGAGAAATCAGTAAGTCCATCTTTAACCTCAAGAAGTTAATGATCTGGCAGAGGATACAATATATTCATTCACTGAATAACGGTGTTTCCTCAGTGCCACCAGCCACTGGGCAAGCCACTGAGAATACACGATCCTACTCTCATAAATTTAGACTTCTAACTAAAAGCAGAAGATAACTAATAAAGAGTTTAAAGAAAAAGACTACATAATTAGGTTAATATTTTTGAAAGATTGCTGGATACCATATGAAAAGTATTATGAAATGGAGGAAATAAGCTCAAAGATAAAAAGACAGTCAGGAGCTACTGTAACTTGGTGTGGCTACCACGTACAGACATACATTGCTTAATGACCGGGACATGTTTGGAGAAATGTGTTGTTAGGCGATTGCACTGTCTGTGAACATCACAGAGTGCACTTACATAAACCTAGATCCTACAGCCAACTACATGCCTAGACTAAATATAGTATAGCCTATAATAATCTTATGGGACAACCATCATATATGTGGTCCCTCATTGAAAGCAATGTCAATTCAGCACATGACTGTAACAAGAACTCAAAATAAAGAGCAACAAACTTAGCTGAAGTATAAGGAAACAAAAAAAGCTTCAGAAAAATAATGCTGCAGCTCAATCTTGAAAGATAAGAGTTGACCAGACAAGCAGAGAAAGTGATTTTGTACAATAAGACCATATGAAAGTCATGATTGGAAAATTTCAAGTAGTGAGTCTTGAATGACCTAAATCATAGCTATTCAACAGAAAGGTAGGTTAAGAAAAGGATACCAAAGGACCTTGTAAAATGAACGAAGTAAATACCTCCAGGACATTGAAGAGTATTTTTAAGCAAAATGCTTACATAAGCAACCTTACGTTTCAGAAAGATTCTTCCAAGGACAATTACCTAAAGGAGAATACAAGAAGCCTAATCATCTAAACAAGAACTCATACTTGCCAAGAGATACATTGCCTCAAAGCCCGTAAGGTAGTAACCTGACAATCAAATACTCAGGTTTACAAACCAAGCCAGTAATATCAAGTTCAGGCCACACTACAGTTGACATGGCAACTAAAACAAAAAAAAAAAAAAAAAAAAAAAAAAAAAACCCCAGGAATTCTATATACATAAAATACTAAAAATGTAATGGCAGGAGATAAATGGAGTCAAGAAGAGAATACAACAACTATGAAAATGGAGTAGTAACAGAATCAGAAATTTTATTTCAGGGTAAGAATACTTCCACTTATTGGCAATTACACACAAATGTACCCTTTATACGTAAACAATCAATTAATTGTGGCTCCTGACAAGCAGTTCAAATACCAAGTTATTTTAATACATAACACTGAAAAAGGCAACCCAAGATTAGTAAGATTAGAAATCTCCAACAGAGGCCCGACTCTACACTAGCTAACTTCCCACGGATTAGAAAGGAAAGCTCTACCACTGGCTGATACTTGAAGCTACCAACCAACTTGGAGGTGGAGTGGGGTAGCAGCAAACTTGCTATTTCACAAAGGTTCTTGATCAACAAACTAGACAAATTCAATCTTGGTTCAAACTCGACAAGCAAATATACTGGAGAATCCCACTGTTTTATTTTAAGAAAATGAATCCTACCTTTCCAGGGTCATCCTTGGATCGAGGCACTTTAAGGAAACACTTGTTCAATGACAGATTATGTCGTATGGAATTCTGAAATTAAAAAAAAAAAAAAAAAAGCCAGAGTCAATGGAATCCAAACACCAAAATCCATCCTTAAGAATCGAAAACCTAAGTATCTCTATGCATTAGAGATATTTAGAGATAATTACAAATGAAATAGCTTTTCAAATGAGTTTCAAATTTAAACCTTTCTGACTTTCAATTATGAATGCTAAGGAAAGTAGTTACTGAGAAATTCTATTGGAATCTATTAAACAATAAATGATTTTTTTACACCCCCCCCCAATGCCAGAGGGCATGTGTGCTTGCCATTTCTCCATCATGCCGGAATTTGGGGCAAGCACGCACATGCATCCAATGTGACTTTCAAGCCATTAGTTTCAAAACAGTCAATCAGATGGGATTTGGCTCACTAAACCACTAAGCTATGGAGCTGGGCTGATATATGTAATGTTATGTGTTCAAGATCTTGTAATAAATAAGGAGTAATATTAAATATTAAGTGCCAAACACAAGACTATACACTTATTCTAACTTTAATTTTAGTGTATGTTTTTAAAATAAATTATAGGTGACCACTATTTTCTTCTTTTTCTTCTTTTCTAAAGTTCCACATGGTACATAAGGTACATGTATTACTATTTTTTAATGGATTTAAAAAGTTAGAAAAACATCACTGCTCTACTACAAAAGCAAAAAGGCATTTAGGTTCTTACTACAATCTATAAGAAAGAAAACTGCATTGAAAGATACTTAGCTACACAGTGCTAAGAAAAAATGTGTTCCTCGATGCAGACAGACATAACCAACTTGGGTGACAGGAAAACGCTCTCAAGAGACTTGGAGAGGGCCAATAGATGGCATGGTGGTTGAGGTGCTGGAATCCCACACAGCTGACTACGGCTTGAGCCCCAGACTTGGTGGTTTGCTTTCTCACTTTCTGTCTCTCTGGTGAGTACACGTGCCCTATAGCAAAATTTAAAATAATAATGATAATAATAATAATAAACAAACAAAATAACACAAATAATTATTTAAAAAAGAGAGAGAAAGAGACCTGGAGAGTCTGTGAAACAGAATTATCTATTCCTAAGTAGGACTGTACCATAATTCTTATTTTTTTTTAAATCATTTCTTCTCAGTTAAATGCTCCGAAATTTATTCACGACTGTCGTTTGTTCCAAATGGCTAAGTATTTGGTGGTAAGGGGATCAAACTGCATTTTGCACTATTCAGAATGGAATCTTTGGGGTTATGTTTTGGCATAATGATTTTTTTTAATATGAGAGAGAGAACAAGTACACACATTAGAGAGTGTGTGCTCAGGCATGCAGGAAGGGTAGAGAACGGTAAGTATTTCTGATAGGGTCTTCACACCATATCATGATCCTCCAGGCCCAGCTTTCTGGTAAGCTAAGACCACGGGCACATACCACCATGCAAGTCTGAGGTCTCATGGGAAACAGGGTTTAGTGCCCAGCCTGTTCTGGTTGGACCAAGAACCAAATCCTGGCTTCCCGAGCAGCCTCAGCCATTGTGTAGTGGTGCCCTCCCATTTGCGCCACAGTGGCTGAGCCTGTTTTGTTATTTTAACATAAATTTCAGAACTCTAGCAGGAGTGCCTATATTAAAACTTCCCTCTCACAGGAGCAATAATGGGGTTTAAATACTTCTTAATAACTACAAAATGTAAACTCAAACCTATCTTATTACCAAAATAGAAATTTAAAACTTATGAATGAAAATTCCACCTCTGCTTGGGATACAGATACCCACAAAAAATGATGGTCCCTCTAAAATGATGGAAAAACACTGAGTAAGCTATTATTAAAAAATAAAACCATAGCTATTTCCAAGCCACGTCAGAGAGCTCACGTTGCAAAGCAGCCAAGCAACCCACATTCCTAAGCGAGACAATGCTATTCAAGGAGAAGTTGGACATACAAACCTTCTCATCTTTAGCAGAACACAGCAAAAAGAGCTGGCCACAATCCAAACAGGTAAGAAACTAGCTAATATTTTAAAGGCCAATCGTAGCCCACAGTGTCAGAGTATCAAGGGCCCTGAACATAAGGTAAGTTCCCACTCTGTCCTCAAGCTCTTCTCTACAGACCTTCACTGCAGGCTCCTTACAAAGACTCCGGGAGTCTCCACAAGCAGGAGGAGGAGACTGACTGGTGGGGGGTTGGGGGGGCAACAAAAAGCTCTCACCCACAAGGACTTGCTCAAGCAAAGATTCATTGTTTCTGGGGAAAGAATGGAAACAAAATTCTTATGCCTCCAGAGTGAGAGAGGAAACTCTTCCCCTAGAAAGCAGCAAAGATCTGCTTCTACTAGAAGACTAAATGATCTTTCTAATTCTGAAAAAACAGGTATAAAAGTACCTTGGCCCAAGGATTCTACATTAATAACATTGAGCAGTTTGCTATAGCTGCAGAAGGAGAAGGAAACTCCCACCCAAAAGCAATTACAGATTTAACACTAGTTTGGATGAAGTAGAGAAACACTGAAAAAGCCCCATTCCCCAAGTTCAAGAGCCTGCGTAAGAATGAGGCTGGACCAACATAACAAAGAAAAATCCTTTGCGTCTAGCACTGAATAATAAGCAACAGCAGTATACTGACAGGGGTAGGGCAAGAGCATTAAGAGAGACCCCTATCAGGACCAGCAGATGGCATAATGGTTATGTTGCTGGACTCCGACATAGTCGACTGCAGTTCAGGTCCCAGATCCAGTGGCTTAAAAACACCGTGCATGCCCAAAATCCCAAGAGGAGAATGGAGAAGGGATTGTGTCATTGCCATCCCCTGCTCCTGCTAGGGGTGTGTGTGTGTGTGTAATTTCTCACTTTCTGTTTCTCTGTCACTGTCTCTTTGGCAAGCATACATACCCTATAGCAAAACCCTCGGGGGGGGGGGGGGCCCCGCCCCCAACCTGTAACAAAGTAGGCAGTAGGCAGAGACATCTAAATCAAGAGACAGAAAAATGAAAAATCTTCTACAGCACCAAAGCCTCTTCTCGCCACCCTACGCCCCCATCCCCACTCCAAGCACAAGGTAGTAGGACCCTTCTACTAGACAACTATAAAGTCTGTGGTGTACTAAATATAAAGATATCAATGACAAAATCCAAATGCAGCTGAACTATTGACAGACTGGCTCAACCTCTTATATAAATGGCATGAGAAGGAAGATGCTTGTCTATTTTTAAGTACAACCACTCTTTCTCTCAATCTCTACCATGTTCAACATATATAATACTTGATCCAAAATTATGACATAGAAAAGTGAAGAAACAAATCACTGTCAAGAGGTAAAATACTGGGGCCAGCAGGTGGTACAGTGGTTGGGATGTTGGACTCTCACATAGCTGACCATAGTTCAGGTCCCGGACCTGGCGATTTGATTTCTCACTTTCCCTTTCTCTTTCTCTCTCTGGTCAAATTAAAAATAATAATAATAACAACGAATAAAATTAATAATTCTTTTTTAAAAATAGAGATAAAGTACTCAACAAAACCTAACTGAGAAATGACTGAGGATAAATCAATAGAAATTATACAAAAGTGAACACACACATATGTGCACACATGCACACAGACATCCAAAAAAATCTAAGAACTATGAGAAAATAAATGCAATTGAAGTCCTAGAAGAAGATAAAAGAATGCGATAGAAGAAAAATATAAACAAGTAATAGTTAAGAATCATCCAAAAATAATGCAAGACATCAACCACATATGCAAGAATTTCAAAGAATCACCAAACAGAATAAACCAAAAATCCACATCCCTAAGTTTATTATAATTGAAGTGTAAACAACCAAAGAGGAAAAGATTACATAGAAAAACAAAGGTAAAAATTAGACTTTTCAAAAACTACAATTCAAACTAGGTGACAATGGAGTGACCTATTAAACTACTGAAAGAGAAAAAAATTGTCAATTACAAACAATGTGCACTATTTCTCAATATACAGTATCTTTCAAAAACAAAGGCTGAAACAATTCATTTTCTATAGCATCAGTTAGCTGACAATGGTATATAAAAGTTCTTCAGAAACAAACATGAAATCAAACCAAAATCTACAAAGAGTATCAAATATGGTAAAAATCAAAGTAAATTTTAAAATATTATTTTCTTATTTGTAATCCTTTTAAAAGATAACTGAATACAGGGGCTAGCAGGTGGCATTGTGGTTAGGGGCCCTGGACTCCCACATGGCCAACCACAGTTCGAGTCCCAGACCTAGTGGCTTGCTTTCTAGCTTTCTCTCGCTCTCTCTCACTCACTCTGTCCCTCTCTAGTCAAATTAAAATAAATAAATAAAGTTAAATTAAAAAAAAATTTTAAAGATAGCAATACCTTAAACAAATGAAATAAATTCATCATGGAGTTTATAACATACATGAAAGTGAAATGTATGACAAAGGAGTGAGAGATCAAAAGGATATGGTTTATAAAGTCCTTACATTGTAAATGAAATGGTTTCCAACTATCTGAAGGGAGAATGTAGTAAACTAAAAGATGCTGCAATAAGTTGTATGTTTATATTCATCTTAAATTCGTGTGTTGAAACTTATACCCCAATGTGATATTTGAAGACAGGGCCTATGGGAGGTAATGAGGTCACATGGGCTGTCTTTACAAATGGAATTAGTACTTATAAATTTGGGGGTTGTGGGGGCAGCCCCATGGCACAATGGTTAGGAACTGTGCACAGGGAGCTGGATCCCACATGGCCAAATGCAATTCAAGTCTATTGGACTGAAAAATACACTAGGCAGGGACCAGCAGTTAGCGTAATGGCTATGTCACTGGACTCCCATGTAGTCTACCTCGGTTCACATCCTGGACCCGATGGCTTAAACTCACGCTGGGCACGTGTGCGTGCGTGCATGCATGCGTGCCCAAGATCCCAAGAGGAGAATGGAGGAGAAGGGACTGCGGCGTGGCCATCCCCCCCTGGGCGATGATTTCTCGCTTTCTGTCTCTCTGTCTCTGTCTGGCCAGTGCACGTGCCCTGTAGCAA